CATACGCATGAAACTATTGGTTAGATATCTCTGCAAATAGAATTATCGGTATTCCATATATCTAGTGAACCATTAGGTGGACATGATACGCACTAAATAAACGATAAAGAGCTTTGAATGGCTACTTTGTATGCTCTACTGAACTGCGATGAAGTACGTTATTCATTCCAACAGTAAGACTGAATCTAATCAAATATTTTTACAGTTATCATGCAAAATGTTTTACCAATTAACTCAAATATACAAATCACAATGATGCTCGTTGATTATTTACGGAGAGCTTGAATGTAGATGATGACTCTCTTGTAAGCAAGATAATGGAAAAAGAATTTCCAAAATGGTTCAAATTACACATACGTTGAAGTAATTTTTAAATTCATCGATGCGTTGTATAATTATACTCTAAAGGCCTTCGTTTAAGTAGAACTAAAACTGAATACATGGAATGTAATTTTAGTAGTCATAGCTCTAGTGACAGAAGTGTGACTTTAGGTGATCAAATTATTAAAAGGTGTGAACGATTTAGATATCTTGGGTCTGTTGTCCAAAGCGATGGTGATATAGATGGGAATGTTAATAGTAGAATTCAAGTTGGTTGGTTGAAGTGGAGGAATGCTTCGGGCCTTTTGTGTGATAGGAAAGTACTGCTAAGACTGAAAGGAAAATTTTATAAAACGGTGGTGAGGCCTGCAATGCTCTATGGCGCTGAATGTTGGCCTTTAAAAGAGAAGCATAATAATAAGTTAAGTGTTGCCGAGATGAGAATGATTAGGTGGATGAGTGGCTTTACACTTAGAGACAAAATGCGGAATGAATATATTCGTGATAGGGTTGGTGTAGCTCCTGGGATAGACAAAATTAGAGAAAGTCATCTTAGATGGTTTGGTCATATTAAACGCCGACCATCTGATGATCCGATTAGGAGAGTAAATGTTTTAGATTCAACTTGTGTTAAGAAAGGCAGAGGTAGACCTAGGAAGACTTGGGCTTATTGTATTAAAAATGATCCTAATTTACTAGAACTAAATGAAGATATGACACTAAATAAGACGCAATGGATAAAAAGGATTCATGTAGCCGACCTCACGTAGTGGGATTAAGGCTTTGTTGTTGTTGTTGTTGTTGTTGTATAATTATACTCTACAAAGTAAAACTAATTATGCTTTGGAACTTCTACTAGGTTCATAATACAAACAACGAAATCACAAACCATGGCTTATTAGATATTATTTAAGGGTCTAATCATAATGTGAAGACATGATAAATATTTGAAGTTAACAGTTACAAATTTCACATAAGCCCTTAGTGTAAAGAAAAATAAACTTATAACCCTGGTGTTTGTGTTATAGGAAACACACGCATATAGCGAGATCAACTAATACAACAAACTAAAGAAAGTTCAATTGCAATATCCGGGTTGTGTTAAATGCAGTGTCTACAAGTTCAACTGTGAGTGATTTGATCATATTCCTGATCGAGAAACACAGACACTAGACCCTTATGATATTTCTGAAGTTAAAATGAACAGAATATATTCTGGTCGAGCAAAGGATAAACTTAATATGACTCATTTATTCTAGCCCGTCAGAAGGCTAGTCAGGTTTATTATGTTTGATATCCTGGTCGAGCAAGGAATAAATTTAACTGGACTGTTGTATTAAAAAACTTATCACGAAAAATTGTTGAGATGCAAAATATTATCGAACATATTCACCAAGAGTCAATTACGTCTAATTTTTGTATTCAACTTTGCTCAATCAATGAGGTTATCCCTAAAGAATATCACAGGGCTTCATGAAGAAGTCCCTCCATATATGGATGAAAATAATGATAAGATTGACAAATAAATTTTAAGTTCATCAACATCTGGATCATCAAATTAAACGGATTAAAAATAATAAGTATATGTAGATAATTAATTTTTGCACATTTTTTGTTTGCTTTCGCTCCTTACACTATAATTGTTCTGCTTAATTTTCTTGATTTTATGCGTAGACATGACATGTTTCACTTTTCTGATTTTATGTTTATGTCTTATATTACATATTAATCCTACTTATATTTTACTTTTTTTCCTATCGCGGATGGCATGTTCTCAGCCTCAAGAGAGACCCCATGTTCAGTGAACTTTGGGAAACACATATCGGAGGCCGAAGAAGGTCGTCGTCAGTGGCGCTGACAGGTAGAGCGCTTGTGCAACCACTCTAGTGACACCTTTTGTTGTCTCTCCTCCCGCAACAGGTTCCTTACAGAAACCAACTCCTTCTCATGCACCACATTTCTGCACAGTTTCCTCATTAGATGAGTCAGACCCCTCAACTCCAGCACTTAAGATGGTTAACACCGTCGGCAATCTATATTAAGCCGGAGAGTGACTCGTAAGTGAACTTTCATTTTTACATTATAGTGATTTCAATTTACATTTCATTTTATAATGTATCTAATATTTCATTTGCAGTTTGTATCCCTCCAGGTCGCCCGTGACACAGATCATCGAGATTATCCAAAGCAATTATAAGCAGTCATATTTCTCATGGAAGCAAACCCCGATTGCCACTTGGGACAAGTATTTTAGAGAATCTAGGTATGATATTTTAATTTAAAATAGAAATTTAATTTCTACTTTTTTATGTAAATTAAGCTTATATACTTTCAAATTTGCATAAGTCTTTTTACTAGTTGTCGGAACATCCCAACAGATCCGGCAAATTTTTTAAGTTTGTGTTAGGCATAGGCTCGGGAAAAAGCTCACAACAATACGTAAGAAGAAGAAAAAGCCCTCGTGGGTTGGGGAGAAAACCTAAGCTAAGTTAAACCTACATGAGCCATTCCGAAGTACCAGAGGAAGAGACAGACAAATCAGCAAAACCGAACAACGAAAGGATCCAGGGGGTGCCACACTCCACATTGGAAGTTCGATTCCCCACACGTAGCAGTACGAGGGGCTAGTAAGATTATCTAAAAATTTAGAAGCTTGCATATTTATGTAATTTTGTGATTTATATTTATCTGATCATGTAAACAGACTATAGAGCTTAACAGAGAGTCATCCGCGGCAGAGTTGCATGTCCTTACACATCGGCGCACGGGCACACATGGGTATCTGATTAAACTCAACGTATCGATATAAGTTTTAAATTTTTTATTTTTTTTATCTTTAGAGGGATACTAATATGTCAATTACTATTTAAAATGTCAATTAATGTTTGAATTTTACTATGTAAGAAGAGTAAGAACAGCTCCGGAGAGAGACAGAGGGATATGACTACCCAGATTTCACGGCCCACCAGCAGCAATGGTAGTCAGTCTATCACTGTTCAGTCTGATTTTGAGTTGTGGACTCGATGACGGGGAAAAAGAATGGGAGTGTGTGGCCTTGGAGGAAAGGGGATGGCGTTTGAGATTGAGTGTTCCCGTGCAGTTGTGAATGGCTCTAATGCGTTACAGGATCAGCATGAGGAGCTTGTCAGGCGAATCAAGATGATGAATGAGGGGCTTCAACAAGTGAGTGAAGGTCAGCAGATAGTCTGGTACGTCTGAAGGTGAGTTTTGATTGTTAGAACAAACGACATATGAGTGTTGTCGAGGAGGATGAGGAGGTGAGTGATCGTTAGAACAAACGACATATGAGTGTTGTCGAGGAGGTGAGTGATGATGATGAGGAGAATTATAATTTTTTTATGTGTTTAATGATGTTTCTCGGACGAAGGAGGCAATTATATGATTTTATCGTTTTTGTGCAATCAAAATTTTAGTTTCTGTAATTGTGAATATTAAATATTTTGATTGGTTTATCTTTAATTTAATTATGTATCATTATTTGGATATGTTAGAGCTTTCTTTTATTAGTTCTTATCATATATAAATGTCTTGTTATGTTGTTTGTGTATGTTTTGTATAGGTATGTAGAAGCTTTTTTTTTATATGTTTGAGTCGGATTAAAGTTGGCAAATTCCAATGCTAAGTACTGCAGTAATCTCTTCGAAACCAACAACGCAAATTCGATGCACTTGCATCAAACAAGGCCGACGCTAAATTGTGTCGTTAATAATCGACCCTAAATTGCGTCAGATATGGCCAATGCTAATTTGTGTCAGCCATGCTCGATTCAAGTGCATCATTACTCTTACGGTACCGTTTTTCCAACACAAATTTATAGCGCCAGAAATTTTTGATGAAAATGTTGACTCAAATAAAAATCCAACCCAAAATGATTTAGTGACAACCATTTTAACGTCAAAACCTTTTCAACACAAATCCAGCATTAATTGGGATTGGCGTCGGATAAATTTCCAGTTAGCATCAGAACATCAGAAATTTCCGACTAATTATACGCTAATTAGGCATTTTTCTGTAATGTCTTCGATAAGCAATCTAGGCCATGCTACAAAACTTAAGTAAAACATATAAAAATTTTCACAGTTATCAAAGTGAAAAATTAAAAAAAATAATGCACTGAATGCGAGTAGTTTTGAGAGCATTCTATATAACAGTTATATCCAATCTTCAAACCTATAAATTTCCCACAAGATAAGGACGTATGAAATGGCAGTTTAAGAAACATGGTGAACAGAGAATTCAAATGAAGCTAAAAAATGAAATTTGTATAAGATGAATGTGAGACATCAGAGTGGCTCAGGCTACCGGGCAAGTGAAATTCCAACATTAAAAATAAAAACTAAATAATTCAACTAAGGCGCGGAAAAGCAATTTCAAAACCCAATCATCAACTACCAAGAACCGATACGAAACCAGCAAAATCACCCCTTGCCGCCGCCCGCCACTTCCGAAACCAAACCAATGAAAACCAACAAAGTAACAAAACAAAAACACATTTCTCTGAAACGAACCAAAACCCTAGAGAAAACCACATTGATAGCCAAAATCAAACACCAGCGCGGGTGCTGCAGTTTCCAAAACCGACATGCTAACGTACATCCCAAGCAGATAGGCAATATAACAGGTTTCGACTAAAGAAAAGAGTGAATGCATGAAGAAACCTCTGACACTCGACTCCTGCGAAGCGTCGTCTGGAAGACTGCAACCTGAATCAACAATGCTCTTCTCAGCCATCTTCTTCGATATAGAAAACAAAACCCTATAACAGAAGAGAAAACCACCTGCCCGTGATGTTCTTCGCGGCTGGCTCCGAGGAAGAAATGCGGGGGAAATTGGGCGGATTATAAAGATAAAAGTGAAAGAAGCAGTCTTCTTGTAGCTCTGAACCTTCTTTGGTTCAGTAACTCGGAGCCATCCGATCTGGCACAGTGCCCGTACATGGAGATTGTTAGGAGCATCGTAGCCGTTTATTTCACCGAGTCGTACAGATGTACGGCTAGATTGTCCGTTTGGATAACGATACCCTAGAATGCAAAAACCGCTGCGGGCGAGGAATTAGGCGAAACGGGAAACAGGGACCGAAAAAAGAACCTGTGGCGTCGTTTATGCGGGTCCCGCGGGGTCTAATATGGCTCCACATTAATTAAAAAATTTCAAAAAAATATATAATTAATTAAATTACCATTATTATTAAATAAAATTTTAATTTTAATTAGGTGTGGATGCCAAAATATTTTTTTGCCTTTTTCTTTATGATTTTTTTCCAGTAGTAAATTTGTCTAACTCTTCGTGTGGGACTAAATGTCTTTGTTCCATCGTTTCTGCCGATAGCAAGTAACGTGATGTTGACTTGGTCCGAGACTCTCCTCCTTGACGATATTCTTTCGAGTTTCAACGGCATTAATCAAAACTTATGAAAAACGCTATGGGGTTTTGAAAACGCCTAATTTTTCTGTGCGGACTCCTGACGTATCTCTACGTGCGGTGAAGGTTATTCCTAAGTTATTTTCAGGTTATTTTCAATAATACCGAAATAACCCAAAAATAAGGACCGTGGGTTATTTCTGTGTTATTTCAGAATCATTAAAAATAACCCAGAAATAACCTGAAAATAACAGATGAAAATTTTCGTCATTAATTTTTAGGTATTGTAGCCAGCTTCCATACCCCGACAGCCCCATAGTGCTTGTTTTATATTTATATTTACATATGTTTCACTTTACAAACTAAAACCTAAATTTAGTTTTTTTGGGGATCATTTACGTACAAACATATAACTCATTCTATATATTTACATATCTAACACCTAAATTTATGTTTTTGTTATGATTATACCACCTAAATTCAAATTAAAAATAATAAAATTTAACATTTTAATACATGTAAAAATCAATATAAGAAAATAAAAATAAATAATTATTTTTTTTAGTGTTTAATTATTTCAAGCTAAAACAAGTCAAACACGATGAACAAATTACATCTGTTCTTGTTTGAATTGTTTAAAATTTTAACTAAAAAATATTGTTTGTGTTAGGCTTGATTGTTTGACAAAAGAATCGAACATCAGAAGTTAACGAGTAGAGCACGAGCTGATCGCAAAAAACGAGCTTTCTTTTACGGTCTTAGTCTTATTTTTGAGTTGGTTGAATTAGGTGAATCGAGCACCGCATGAACGGTTGTAGGAAAAAATATTACGTGCAGAATCCAATTGAATTTGAACTTCTTGTAAGATGATGTTGAATACGTTGTACAATAATCTGTATAATGTGTACAACCGCGTTGTACGCGAAGTCTGGATACATCCAAACTTCGCACATATTTTTTTCTCTAATTGTAGGGAGCAAGAGATGTGTTATACTAGAAAAAATAGGCCGCGGGGGAGCTGTGAATCAGGACGGACAACTTTTGATGGTCAATATTTGACTTTCAGGGAATATGCCCCGTGTGATGTGATAATATGGTTGTCTAGGTTTCAAGGAAATCACCTCATTAGAGAATGGTTACTTTAACTATACTTTTTTTTTGTTTAAATTTGTTAAAATTTAATTTTAACAAATATAAATTTTTAAGACCACATTTAAAAAAATTCATAATTGTTTGGAAATAAAGTTTTTTAATGTATTTTTAAAAACATAACAAAATAATTCAATTAATAATTCTTCTCAAATAAGTTTGAATATTTTCTCAAGCATTACCAATATAATACATTTTGTGCATCCAAAGATGAATTTCCTCAACAATAGGATTGCCCATATGCTAAATGGGTCTAATGGGCACGAAAGATTGAGCCCATAAACCACGCACTTGATATCCCGACGTTGATCACACTATTAGTTTTTGTTTGTTGATTTATTGAGATGACAAGTTGGAGAGTTTTTCCCAGCTAAAAAGAGCCTAATGAGTATCTCCGCCGAAGTTCAACAGCATTCACGAGAGTTCTTACAACCAAGCTCGCTAATCTTACATCTTCATGCGAGTTCTTCAAGTTGACCTCACTCGTACACATCAAGCTCTTTTATTGAGCTAGCCTACATGAACAAAACTTTCCCACCTAGCTCACAAATATCTATCCAACTACATCATCAAGCTCGATAAACAGTCCTTTCAACAGAAGGAAGGAAACTTCATTACATCACCATCCCTGTCTATTTATTGACTGCCTGACATTCATGCCAAGGATCTTATCAAAGGTGGGCCCAAATATGCCTCATACATTACAACTTTTAAGGTAGCATTGTATTATGTCTTTATAGCCACATCTGGGCACATATGTTCTATGAGGTATAAATAAAAGGTAAAAGGGGAGAAGCAAAGTGCTTCTACTTATATTTTTCCTTGTTGTAATTGACATTGAAATACTCTATGAAATCCTAAGCTCTTTTCCTTCTCTTTCACAATATCTCCCCTATATTATATAAACCTGCATATCATATAGGATCATACGTCCTAAAAGCAATCAACATCACGAAATGTGCGGCGAGCATGTATGTCACACTCTAATTCAACAAGGAAATCTTCTAGAAAAATGTGAACAAAAGATAGTGGATTAGGCCAGAGATTTCGTGACGCAATAAATTAACAAGTTAAGAGAGAAAATGTAAAAAACTGACAGGAGTAAGGTGGAAAGTGTCAATAACCCATTATATAAATCGTTCGAGAAGCAGCATAAGATTGTTAGGAACGGTGGTGTGAAAACAAGAACCATAAAGACATCAACCAGAGCAAGGAGGACCCTAACACCAATGCTATAAGAAAAATAAGAAGATGTTGTATCAAATTTCCTCAAATAGGAGTTCATAATCCTCATATGATGAAGAGAGGAGGAGGACAATAAGAAGGATACTACTGGAAAATGCATTCCTCTTAGAATTTAATGAAGTCGAAGTACCTAAAAGGTTCGAAATTGCTTACTTGGATTCTTACAAATGGAGGATTGGTCATGCTTATCACACGACCTCTTTTGAATCATCAATTTGTTTGTTACGAATAAAAGACCCAGTTAAGTGTTGTTTATTCCTTACGACGCTTAAGGAATCAACTATCCACTTGACCAATAACAGATCAGTGGGAGTCATCGCCTCCTTTGGTGAGTTCAAAAAGATAAGTGTAAGCTACGTGAATTGAGCATATTAACGATGAACATTTCTAACGCTAATGAATGATTTTTTTCCCAACGCAAATCTTCAATAACGTTTGATTTACGTTGAAAAAACTGTGACGTTAAAATGAACATTGCTAGTTGAACTAACGTCAACATTTGTGTCTGAATATTTTTTTCTATCGGAATTAGCTTCAATAATTTTCGTTGACAAACTCATCGACAAAACCTAAATATATCTTTTTTCATCCACATTGGGTTGATGCAAATTTGTGTCGCTTGATGTCTAATGCATTCTTTGCTTCTTTTGCGTCATAATAGCAACGCCTCAAATTGTGCAAGTGATTGTAATGTTTGCATCCAATTTTTCTATGCTAATCAGATTCAAACCTGTGAGAAGCAAATAAATACAAATTAACGATTTGATTTTCACATATCTGCACATAACAAATACAAACATTACAATAACTTACTTATCTATTATCAAAAAAAATAAAAAAACACAAACATGTATAAAAAATGATACCAAATTTAATTAAACAAACACGATTATAAACATTCAAACTTCACAACTACAAAAAATGAATGTTCACATAAACATGATTGAAAAAAAAATAATCAGCCCGTATGGTAGAGGAACATCATCATACATAATGAAAATCCTAATCCTACTCCTCATTATTCTTCTTGTCCTCCACGTCTTCGTTGTCGATGCACATATACTGCTTTCCCCGGTGATCAAAATTCTATGTATGGCATGCACCATATGTTGGCCTTCACACATTTGTTTGAGCTCTTCATTCATCACGCTGGCTCACCTGACAAGTTCATCATTATGAGCTTGTAATGAGTCGGAGCCACCCACACCGGCACGAGAGTGCTCTGCCTCAAATGCAATGCTCTTTTCTCCTGGGTCGTATACCCTCCCCTTTTTCTTCCCCTCTAATTGGCTTCACCTCTCAAATTCAGACTGAGCAGCTAGCTACCACTGCTGTCGACGGACTATGAGGTCAAGCTAGCAATCTCCCTTTTGCTTATCATTGAGATGCTTGTACTACTTTTGAATAATTAAATTCAAAGATTAATTGTCACTTTAAATATTAGTTACAAACAAACAGAAAATATATTTTTTTTCTTATATTGACACGATGAGTGAGGTCGAAGACCCATTATTGACTATCTATGAGTCGATGTGTCAGAACATGCAACTCTACAGTAGATGACTCTCTGTCAAGCTAAATGGCCTGTGCATGTGAGATGATGGTATGCATCGTACAATTATATAAATTTTTAAGTTTATAAATATTGGGATAATCATACACTACGGTAGCGCTCCGCGTGAGGGATCAAACCTCTAATGCGGAGAGTGACCCCTCTGACTCCCTCTGTCGTCCCATTATGCTAGTTTGTCCATTTTTTTATCTAGTTTTTCATATAGGTCGAGACTTTGTTACACTCAACCCAAACATCGTCGCCCACCCACGTGGGCTTCTCCCCTTTATTTCATGTAATACTGAACATATCCCCCAGCCGATGCCTGCCACAAACATAAAAAAATCAATCATATCTGTTGGTAATGCTACAACAACCAATAGAAAGCTTTGCAGATTAAAAATTATGTAAGTTTGATTAGTATAAAAATATAGAAATTAACATTTTATTTTAAAGTCAATGTTCATACCTCAAAATTCCTGAACTATGTGTAGGGGTGTGCATTTTTTGGTTTGAACCGAAAAATTCAATCGAACCAAGTCAATTTTGTTGATTCAGTTAACTAAAACAAAACAGTTACAATTTAAAAAATGTTAGTTTTCTTTTTGGTTTACAGTTCAGTTTTACTTCTAATTTAGCTGAATGAACAAAAATACATAATTTTATAGGTAAATCTTCATTTAA